AAATCTCTCAACATTTAATTGTTTATATTGGCTTATTCATTTTATAAATCTATATTAAGCACCTGAATTATACCAGGCCCTATGCTATATTTGGAGAAAGGTGCAAGTTGAATCAGGAACCAGAAGCTCACTGGCCACCTGGAAATTAAACACCAGTGACTTCTCTGAAGACGTTCTTAGATATCTCACGAGGCTAGTGGGAGCCATGGAGCATTATGATCCTTTTTATCACTAGCAACATTCCTTGGAAATGTGCTACCTAGTCCCATGTGCACAGTGTCTTAATTGTCTTTCCATGCTGTGACTACATCAGACTTTATTTTTGTGAGCTCAGTTTCTTGTCAGGAATAATACATCAGGCTAGCTGTCTCCACCACTGTCTTGCCTGTACTCAGTGGCATCTGCAGTCTGTCTCTCTGGTTGGTAATCTATTGTGACTTTAAGGCCACCTTTAGAAAGACAAGGGCTGCTCACCTATAACCTTATTACTTCAGAAGCTTCTGGTGTCTAGATCAGTGCTGTGCAGGCAGAGTTTCTGCAGTAATGGAAGTGTTCTGTATCTGCTCTGCCCAATAATATAAGCATTTGAGATGGGGCTAATGTGACTGAGAAACTAAATTTTTAATTGTAATTAATTTCAATTTAGATTGTTCATGTAGCTAATGGCTACCTTGTTGGATAGTGCAGCTCTAGACCATCCCAGCAGGTTCCGCTAGTTCTCCTCATGGGGTAGACAAGTTCCTTTCTTTAGGTGTTTCTACCACACTGACTGGGCTGTGCTTTTAATCTTTTTGCTTTGTCCTGCCAGCAGAGTAGGTGGTGGGATCCAGAACTGTTTCTAAGAGGATATTCTTGAAGGGGGATGGGACTACTTTGTACTCCCTTTAGATCAGATATCTAGAGCTGCTCTGGAGGAACAGCTTTTGGGAAGCCATTGGGAACTTTCTGGAAGCTGTCGTAGAGACAGAATAAATATTGTTATGGTAAGTCAGTTTCTAAATAATGAAAGTTGTTTTCAGGGAGGGGCTTAACACTTTGTGAAAAATCAAGTCAAAAGTTTGTTTCCTTCCCAGATACATCACTTTTTATCTTTTTTACACTTTTATGTCACACTCCTGCATCTGTGGCATCTGAAATGCTACAAAAATGCTTCTGAGTCATTGCCATTGGTTATTTTTTTTCTTAATGTAGCATCTCTATAATATAATCCCTCTTTAGAAAAGCTTGATGAATTCTCCTGGGATCTTTTGACTGCGTTCTACTTTCAAATGAGTCAGTGACCAGTTCTTTTTGCCCATCAGCAATTTTATAGGATGCAACAGATGTGCCAGTGTATTAGGAACCTTGTTTTGTCTTTCTTTCCCTCCTTCGGTGACACTGCCTTTCTTTGTTCGATTTCAAGGCTTCCATTTCTGATCCATCCATAGCTTTGTCCTCTTCCCAATCCTTTCTTTAATTCCTGTTCTAGGCACCCTGGCTCCTACTCTCCTTCCCCCTCTCAGAGTTGGCCTCCAACTTCTCTCCTCCCAGGTACTTCTCTCGTGTGTCGAAGCTGTGCTTTCAGATTCTGATCCATGTTTTACCCTCTTCCCACAAGTTCTCACTGCACTCCTTAGGTAGGGAGGAAAGAAATTACAAGCTTGCTGGGAAACTAGGCTCCTTTCCTTTATGTCCTCAGTAAAGACTACCAAAACATAATCTCACCTCTAAAGATTCAGCCTTTACTAACTCACCTTTGTAACCTACCCTGCCTCTGAAGCCTTCCGATGGAGAACCATTTTAGTTTTTTGGGTTTTTTTTTGAGACAGAGTCTCACTTTTGTTGCCTGGGCTAGAGTGAGTGCCATGGCATCAGTCTAGCTCACAGCAACTTCAAACTCCTGGACTCAAGCGATCCTCCTGCCTCGGCCTCCCGAGTAGCAGGGACTACAAGTGTGAGCCACCACGCCCAGCTAATATTTTATTTCTACTTTTAGTTGGCTTGCTAATTTTTTCTATTTTTAGTAGAGACATGGTCTTGCTCTTGCTCAGGCTGGTCTCGAACTCCTGAGCTCAAGCGATCCTCCCGCCTCAGCCTCCCAGAGTGCTAGGATTACAGGCGTGAGCCACCGCGCCCGGCCAAACATTTTAGTTCTATGCTAACCAAGAGGCTTGAATGTGAACTGCTTTCACTGTAGTTGAATTTGCTGCACATTTGGGAAAACCATGTGGGGAAACTGACTGTGTTTTCTGCCTTCTGTTGACAGACTGGTGCACGAAACTTCCAGGACTTTGGCTGTCAGGTAAGGACTATGCAGGCACCAAGGAGGCTCTGTACAGGATCTCTGCAGTGCTTGCCTTCCTGTGGTGGTGATCTTGTAGAAGTGGATCTCCTATTGTAGCTAATCATGACTCCTTAATGTTCTTTTGGTCATTGGCTCAAGTTTGTTTAAAACGATTTGTTACCATGTTCAAACATTGCCTGCCAGGTACTTGTTGTATGATTATAGGTTACTGAATTGACCTGTGTCTCTGTGATTAAGATCTCCCCTCCTCAAATGATATTGGAAACCTCATTTGTCACAGGTGGCAAATGGGGGATTGTTATCTCACTGCAGAGGAGGTAGGGGAGGGGTACTTTGGAAGAAGAGAGACTTCTTGACGGCAAAATCTTTCCCTAAAGGAAAAAGCCAAATTGTTATTAATACAAAATGCGGGTTTTTCTTGGCTTTATGTTTGGAAATGCAAAATTCAACCTGACTCATTGGTATTTTCCTAAACGATACTGTTTTTCCTAGTTTGCTTTTGCACGTAGCTCTATTGCCAATTTGAAAAGAACCAGCAACTATCCATCTACCTGCTTTATCTGTTGACTGGTCTTGAAAGAAATGGGAGGAAAGAATGAGTACATGGATAGGGAAACTTTGAAAGCCTGGACAGCCCAACCACTGGGATAGATGCCATCGCAGTGACTAACACAAGTGACATGAAGTAGACTTAGAGGGTACTCGCAGGAAAGGAGGATGCTGGAAAACCAACTTCCTTACATCCAGTATTCAGCCAATCTCTACAGCCACAGGTAAATAGTTATATTCAAATATGCATTTTATGTTAAGTACAGTGG